CTGAATTCCTCTCTCTCTCTTTCTATCTCTCTTCCTTTCCTGCCCTCTGCAGTTCTAATTTGCACTGGATTAGAATATCTAGAAGAGGGTTAACTAATGATGAAATTCCAAAGATATTTCAGTAAAGATGGGAACACAGTAGAGAGAATACCATATAATGATACTTATGAAATTTTTAGAGGACTGAAAAACTACATGGAAACAAATTTGGGGAATAAAATTACCTTCTTTATCAGCAGATACTGTTTAAACTATCAAGGGCCATATTTTTTCCCTTTTGGGGGGAGGGGCAGGAGTTTTGGGGGTTGACCTTATGTGTAGTTTACCACTGATCTACATTCCCCATCCTTTTTTGAGATCGAAACTGAATTGCTCAGGCTGTTTTAAAACATGTGATCCTCTTACCCTAACCTCCTTGCACCCTGTTTCAAGTACCATTTTTTAAAAGCATGTGTCATACTGACACTTACCAGAATTATGTAATGAACCCTCACCATGAATGTGGTAGTTATTAGGCCTTAGATCAAACATCTGACGATGTAGTGGAGATCTTCCAAATTATAAAAGTGGAAGAAGTCACATAGGGAAGCTGGTTGTGATGGCGCACACCTGTGATCCCAGTACTTGGGAGGCTGAGGCAGAAGGACCTCCAGCCTATGCCACATAATGGGTTCAGACCAGCCTAAACTGCATAGTGAGAATCTGTCTCAAAAAACAAAAGAAGTGCAAGGAGATAGAGCTGTCTCTTAGAAAAACAATGGTATGAAAGCTTCATCATAATTAGACCTTTGAAAACTACTGTTGGCATACAGGAAGGTTATTATTTGTCTTTAATTATATATATTGTTTTTTTCTCATCAACTTTTTTTTTTTTTTGGTCTTTTTTTGACATAAAAGGGTCTCACTGTCTAGTTCAGGCTGGCCTTGAACTACTTTGTAGCTCACGTTGGCCTGGAACTTGGAGCAATTCTGTCTCAGCCTCCTAAGTACTGGGATTACAAGTATGCACTACCATGCCCAGCTTTTGCCAGTTTTTTTACTCTAAACCCTGATGAACAATAGTTTAGTATTTTATTTTGATTTTCAAAGTTCATGTAATGTAATTATTTTATTACATATTAATGCAGTATTCATATTTTTGTGCCCTATACTTTGTTTTAAATATATTTGATTATCAGCGACTAGAAATTACAGGTTATGTCTCCTATTTGCTAGCACATGAAATTAAAAATGTAATATGTATTTTGATTATATTGAACGAAAACTATTTAATCTTTTTTTTTTCTTCCCAGTACTAGGAATTGAATCCAAGATCTTTGTACTGGGCTATATCCCTATCCTTTTTTATTTTAAGCTCTGAGACACTTAAATTGTCTAGGCTGGGCTAAAATTTTTGATTCTTCTTCCTCAGGCTCCCAGAGTTCTGGGATTATAGGCATGTGCCTCCACACCCAGCAGCCAGAGCTATTCCATCTTTTTTGTTTGTTTGTTTAAACAGGGTCTTGTGCAGTTCAGACTGACTTTAAACTCATACATAGTCCAGGCTGGCCTGGCACTCACAGCAGTCCTGCTTTAGCCTCTAAGTGCTGGGATTATAGGCATGTACTACCACGCCCAGCTCAGTCATTTTTTTTTTTTAAAATGGGTACCGAGGATGGAACTCATGGCTGCCTGCTTGCAAGGAAGGCGCTTATGCTGCTGAGCTAAATCCCCAGCCCCCAGCTCAGTCTTTAATATAATTTGTCTGAGTTTAATTTTGATCATTTTTTATTGTGGTTTAGACCATATAATCACTTAGTTTTCCTTTTTTATTAAAATTTATTGACAGTTGATGGATGCTTGAAGAAAAAAACCCTAAAGTTAGGCAAAAGGAAAAGACTCTCAAATCTCTTAGGTTGCTAGAAAAGCAGTAGAAAGTACTGTACTGGGTAATAGCTGTTTATTTCTGTTTTTCTCTCTTCCCGAATCATTTCTGTAAAGCTGAACTAATAGAATTTTAGAATTGGAAGAGATATTGAAGGCCATTTAATATATAGCTTTCCCCTCCCAATTATAGAAGTCCCTTCAGTAATCTGTTTTAGTAGGTAATTTTCCGTACTTGAATTATTTCCAACAGCGTGGAGCTTGGTGGGTTTTGAGATAATGCATACTTCTATTAAGTAATTTTTTTAACAAGAGCACAAATGCACTTTTATTTTTCCATCAGTTTAAAGCCTTGAGGGGGACAGCCTCCACACGGATTCAGTATCCAATAGCCTTAGCAGGAAAGTTGCTTTGGCACTTGGCATGAACCATGCTGCTGTTTCCGGGTGGGCCCAACTTACCTTTGTCAGATCACTCAGGTTTTGTTTGGGTTGCCGCCTGCAGTCACTGTGTTATTTTTCGCTTTGTACACAGAAGCACATCTCTTGCTCACGCAGAATTCAGTTTCATCATGAGCATAAGTACCTTTAGTTTTAAGAAGACCTATCTTATGTGTTCCCTTTGGTTCTGGAGACCCCATTTATAGCCAGCAAAAATGTCTCGCACCACAGTCTTCAGACTCATTTGCATTTTAGAAGTTGCATTCCCAGCAGGCCTCCTCGGGCTCCAAGGTGGACTTAAGTCATTTTTATGGTTTGAAAATAATTCCTTTTACTGAACCAAAATAATACTCCTATACTCCCTATACTACTTATCAGTAGAGATCTTAGTTCTGCATTCACAGGGAGTTGATGTACGTAAGGATGTATAGTAATTAACCGATTGTAAATCATCTCTGTTTGTACCTTCTTGCTTCTCTTTCTCAGCTTTTTTCTTTATTAGATTAGATACCAATTTATTTACTGATTCCTTATGCAATATTCTAGTCCCTGGGAAAATAATTCATTAAAAGTAAGATTAAACACTTTGTTGGGAGTAATTTGATTAATTTTCATATTTTTGTTTAGGATATAACTGAAGTATCACTATCCATAAATGACATTAATTTTTTTATTAACTGCTTATTTTTTGTAAATTTTAGTTTATTAGTACTTGTGTTTAGTACATAATATTTACATTCCTGTGGAAAGTTGGTACATGCACATAATATATCTTATTTCTTTCTCATCCCCTTTCCTTTACCTTACTCCTTTCTCCACCCGTCTCTTAATCTCTGCCCGTCTTTTCTTTCTTTTTTTGGGGTACATCTGTGCTTTGTAATGTTTATGCTCCTGCAGTGGAGAGGTGTGTGCACAGAACACTTCCCAGTTCCTTTCTTCATCACTCAGGCTCTCCCTTTCTCCCCCTCCATCTCTTCATCCCCTCCCCTTTGAAAACAATCTGTCTCCCTGCTTCCTGTTGTCTGTGTTTTGTTTTGCTCCTTATTTTTAGTCTGGATTTCTCATAAGACAAACCATGTGATATTAGAGCTTGTGTGTCTAATTTATTTCATTTAACATTATGGTCTTGAGGTGCATTCATTTTCCAAAATGACTCATGTTTATCTTTCTGTGTGGCAGTTAGTGCTTCATTGTATGTAAATACCACATTTTCTTTATCCATAGGGCTGCTGACTTCTTGGCCACTTCTAGGATTCAGCTGTTATGCCTCATGCTACTATACATGGGCATGTATATAACAATACAATGTATCTTTAACTCTTTAGGGAAGACACCTAAAAAGGGATTAGCTGATTCAAATGGTATTTCTGTTGTTAGTGTTTGAGTAATCTCCATACTGATTCCATAGTAGTCGTACTTATATATTCCCAGCCACAATGATGAAGGGTCCCTCACCTTTCCCTGCACTGCCCCACGGCCTCTCCAGCATTTGTATTTGATTTCATGTAGATAGCCATTCTCTGTGGAGTGAATTGGAATCTCAGTGTTATTTTAATTTGCATTTCTCTAATGAGCAGCAGTGTTGAGCATGCTTCATGTATTTATTGGCCATTTGTACTTCTTTAATCACATTGATTTTTACAGTATTTATTATTTTCTAGTTATGCAGCTTATTCATAGGACAACATAGAAGACCATATCTCTACATTTTTCCATAAATAAAATGAATATGTTTCTTTCTGGCTTTTTTCTAAGTTTTTCTATTTTGCAGATATTTTTCTGTTCTAGAAAAAGTAAAAGAAATTACTTTAAAACCCTATTAAGAAAATTATCTCAGACTTTTTTGTGTATAATCTTTTCATTTACAGCAGTATTTTCCCTAAATTCTTACTAATGTGTGTGCTGGAGCTCTTTGGTTCCTGGCAAGAAAGTTTCTTAAAATCTTATGGTTGAGAACAGTTGCTTTCAGAGTATAGCTTAGGTTTTCATGGAGGTCTCTGAAACCCTTTCACAAACTTCCTTGAAAGACAGCCTGTTTTTGCAGTAGTTATGACTTGTTATTGCCTTTTCCACTCTCATTCTCATGAAGTTACATTACAGTTACAGTAGAGTTTTCTAGAGGCTTCCCGATGTGTTCTGATGCAACTGTGGGAAGCCTCAGAGAGTACAAATATAGCTGGCTTCTGGAAAGCCTAACATTAAGAGCTTGCAAAAGTAAAACGGTGTCAGTCTTCTCACTGAGTCGTTTTTGTTTGAGAATATACTTCCCCAAAAGTTACTGTTTCATAAAAGTACTTTAGTTAGCACACAAATGAATTCCTTGCTATTTTTTAAATGAGTTAATAAATGTATTAACATTTCTCAGTCTTAATTTCTAATACAGTAAATATGAATAGCTATAACCTACACAAAGGAAGGCTTTTTAGGAGGAACATCATTTCTTGGTATGTAAGGAAGTCCATGTACCACAAGGCCTGAGAACTGCTAGGTTGGAAGGAGATGGGTGGGGTTCACCGGGGTGCTTTCTTCCATCACTCTGCTTGAGCTTCATGTCCCTTTTTCACACTCACTGTTCCTTTGTTCTATGGAGGTTGAGAGATTTAAAATTCTATTTCCATCCCAGATTCTTCTCTAAAGTAATAAGCTTGTCAGTTTTCCACAAATGACAATTATTTGGTTTTTCTTTTTTCTTTTTAGATTTGATGGCAGAGTAGTGGCAAAGCTTCCTTTCACCCCTCTTTCTTACATCCAAGGACTGTCTCATCGGAACCTGCTGGGAGACGACACTACAGACTGCTCCTTCATCTTCCTCTATATTCTCTGTACCATGTCAATTAGACAAGTAAGTGACCATAGCCACTGCTTAATACATGTATCTTTCCTTGCTTAGCTTTTACTTCTGTAAACTAGAAATATTTATCTGTTGCTACTGACATCTGTTGCTCATTGTCAAATTGTAGTGTATCATCCTAAAGGTATTTTAAATATGTATAAATGTAGGTTGTTAATTCTTAAGGATGAGAAGTCATGATAAAACCAAACACTTGACTTCCATACCCCATTCTTTATACCTTTGAGTTACTTCTTTGCTGAATGTTTCCAAAGCCAGAAAAGTAAGGATCAAGTTTGTTTTTCCACTGCCTTTTTTTGGTCACATACCAGTGTCTTTTGGGAATAATTTGGTGATTTTAGGTAATCACGACTGAGATAACGTTTGGGTTATAGTGTTTACCTGGCCATCTGGGTTAATGAACACTCATAGTGCAGAACAGTGAAAGCAGAGAGGAAAGTGAGAGAGGGTCTGAGTTCAGAAGAGAGCCTCAACATCGGATGAGTGGGGAGAGGTTTATAGTGTGGGGTCGCTTTGGAGAAGAGACTGTAAAAGTGAAGGGTATCATTAAAGTGTGTGGCTCAAGGACTCTGCAGATTTTAGGGTGTTACTCAGTTTTTAAACACCCACCATTCAGCAAGGGTTAGAGTGAAGTTTGTGCCTGCAGTAAATAGGACATAATTCTCTCAGTATTTGTTTTCTGTCTTTTCCCCTTCTGTGAAATACTGTCTGTGGAGCAGAGTCCTAAGAACTGAAATTATAGTGTATGTTTCAGAAAGACAGTGTTGCTGTGTGTTCCTCCTGACTCATCACCATCATATCCACCCGAACGCAGCCTCTGGCCATCCAGCCTGCTTAGCAAGCCCCTTATTAACTTATCTAGATGTTCTTCTGCCTCATTGTTTCTTCTCTCTGGATGCTTCCCTCTTTGCCTGTTAAATGCAGTCAAGCCTCAGGCTTCATGGAATCATCTTCTGACACTGAAGCAGAGATATTAAGAAGAGCATGACTAAGTGCAGGAATGTCAGAAGGCCTACAATAATCAAGTCACAGGCATGACTTTCTACACTGTGGCAGCGGTGAGAGGGATGGAAAGGAAGGCACAGGCTGACAAATACACAGAAGGTTACACCAGCAGAACGTAGTGATTGATTTAATTGAAGAAAAAGGGAGCAACTAAGACGACTTGTGGGTTTCTGGGTTGGTGACCAAGGATACAGTAGCTTGACCCAGAGGTTGGGAGAAGACAGGAGAGGAAGTTGGTTAGAAGATGCGATGATTTTGAAGCAGTTATGAACATACCTGGGGGTCTCCACTGGAAGTTGCACTCTTGGTAGCTGAGGTCCATATTAAACCTTTTGAAAATACCTCTGTAATGGACCTATCCAAGTGTGAATGACAAGGCAGTGACAACACAGATGACTTGTTGGTTTACCAGGAGTCTTTTGATCTCTGTAGAATATTGCCTTTTCATTTGATTAAGTTCCATATTTTCAAACAATGCTATATCGTGTACACTTTAAGCAGTTATAAGCCAAGTATGACAGTACACAGCTGTAATTCCAGCACTCTGGGAGGTTCCTTCTGCATTGCAAGTTCTAACCCATCTTAGCCAATTTAGTAACATCTTATCTCAAAAGAAAAGGAAAGATTGTAAGACAGTGCTTGGAATATAGCTCAGTATCAATACCCTAGGTTCAGTTCCCTATGCCACCAAACCAAACCAAATCAAAACAAAACACCTTTTTAATTCTATGTAGATTTTAGATAGCTCATAGTAGCCATTTTAGATATACTTTTACATTATTACCAAGAAGTCCCAAAATGAAACTGTAGAGTTTGAAACTTGAGATAAGATGGGCATGGTGACTCATGTGTCTAATCCCAGCACTCAGGAGGCTGAGGCAGGAGGATTGCCATAAATTAGAGGTCAGTTTGGACTAAATAGTGAGTTCAAAGGCAACCTGCACTACAAAGCAAGACCTTGTCTCAAAACACAACAAAATAAAAAACAATTTCTCCCTAATATGACAATTAGATGGCAATAATACAGAAATATTCTAAATTGTTTTTAAGGTCACACTTTAAAAAAAAAAAAAGATTATACCTGCCAAATGCAGGGACCTGAGTTCAATTCCTACTACCAAAAAAAAAAAAAGCCAATCTCCCACCTCCCCAGCAGGTGCACACCAGAGTGTTGGTATTATAGGTGTGCACCACCACACCAGCTCTTGTCCTTGCTTTTTAAAGGTATTTGTGTAAGGTTCCAACAGACCTAACTCTCCCAGCCCAACCTGTTTGCCAGCAGGAGCACTGCTCTGCAGGGAACTCAGCTCACCATCTGAGGCTGTCACTGCAAGCACAGGATATTGTAAAGGACATAAGATAGGACAAGGAATTTTACAGGTATATGGACACTTTAAGGACACTGCCCACTGAAGCGCAAGACTGCCAAAAACTTCCACTACAGATATTTGTTGGGATTTTCCTGCCTAATGTCCCCTGCCTTTTTTAAAAATCGCTATAAAAGGGACACACTGTTGTTGTTGTTTTGGACAAATGAGCATATCATGCTGCCCGCCTGCTGGCTTCCAGGAACAATAAATTCCATGCCACGTCGCCTTTACACCAGGCTGATAGGCTCTGTTGCTCTCCTCCCCCTGTACGATACATGTTTTTTTTTGGTACCAGGGATCAAACTCACAACTGTGCACTTGTAAGGCAGGCGCTCATGCCACTGAACTAAATCCCCCGCCCCAGATACATGTTATAATTTTCACTGGATATATTCTGAGTTGAGTAGTTTTTTTGTTGTTGTGTTGTTTTGTTTTAATCCTTTCAGCATTTTAAATGCCTTCTAATGTCTTATGGCCTTTATTGTTCTTAAAAACTCTTCTTTCTTGTATTTCTGTTAAGTAATGTGTCATTTTTCTCTGGCCACTTTCAAGTTTTGTCTTAAGAATTGTTCCTCAGAAATTTCACCATTATGCACCTAGGCTGCTTTCAAAAACAGTTCATTCTGCTAGGGTTTATGGTTTTCATGAAAGTTAGAGAAGTTTCAACCACTGTTTCTGCAAATATTTTGTCTTACTTTTGCTTCGTGTGGAAAGAACTTTCACTTTGGTCTTTTCAGTGTTGCCTAACAATACACCAAGGCTTTGTTCAACGTTTTGTTTTGTTTTTGGTACCAGGGATCGAACTTACAACCTCATGCTTGCCAGGCAGGTGCCTAAGCCGCTGAGCTAAATCCCTGGCCCAAACCCCTGGCCCTCTGTTCAATTTTTGAAAACCTTTTTTCTCTGTTCTGTTACAGATAATTTCTATTGATCTCACCTCAATTCACTGATCCCTCTGTCATCTGTAATCTTTGTTAATCCTAAACCTATCTGGTGATGTTAAAATTCCACATATGCTTTTTAGTTTCTGAATTTGTAAGTCTGTTTTTTCTTTTTTTTTCTTTATTCCTCCTGAGATTGCCTGTTAGTTCATTCATATTTTCTTTTATGTCTATCTTAGTTACTTTCTTATCACTGGGACACAATATCTAATGCCAGCAAAGAGGTTTCAGTCCATAGCTGTCTCCAAGGTAGGGCAGATGGCACTAGAGCCAAGCTGCTGTTGGCCTGGAGTCCGGGTGGCCAAAAGAGGAAGGTGGAGCCGGAAGGGCCAGGAGCCCTTCCAGGCCACACCCCCACGACCCAAGGCTTGTTATTTATCTGCTTTAAAAGTAGTCTCCCAGCTGGACACAGAGGTAAACACCTGTAATCCCTGTACTTGGCAGGCTGAGGCAGAAAGATTGTGAGTTTGAGGTCAGCCAGGCTATACAGCAAGACCTTATCTCAAAACAAAAACCAATAAACAGTAACAGTAAACACTAAACCCCCAGTTCTCTTCCTCTCTTTGCTTTCCTTTCCTACCTTTGTAATGAAGATTTCCCTAAACCTCCTGTTTAGGTGCTTCTTGGAATGTCAGTCAGGAGGAGCATGTTCTAAATTTTAATTTATAGCTGGAAGGCAAGATGTTAAATTTTATTTTTTTAAAAGCTCATATTAGGGGCCAGGGATTTAGCTCAGTGGCATAAGCGCCTGTCAGGCAAGCGTAATGTCCAAAAAATAAAAAATAAAAGCTCATAATGGAGGGTAGGGAGATGTGGTCTTTGGTCAGTTGATGCTTGTTCAGCATTACAAAGGAAGTGGAGTTGTTCCTGTGTAGATTTGATGTAAGCATCTTTCTTTCAAACTTTTGATTTTCACTTTGCAAGATGTATGTTGAGATCTGCAGTAGAATCTGTTTTGGAGGTTTGGTTGGTTGTTTTTGAGACAGGACCTCACTATGAGAAACCTGGCCTCAAATTCACATCACTCCTCCTGCCTCAACCTCCCGATTGCTGAGATTTCAGGTGCACTCTACCACACTTGGCTTGAAATGAGTGTGTTGTTTGTTTTTTTTTTTTGTTTTTTGAGACAAGATCTCACTATGCAGTTCAGCTTGGCCTTGAACTCACTTTGTAGCCCATGCTGGTCTCAAACTCATAAATCCTCCTGCCTCCACCTCCTGAGTGTTAAGACTACAGGTGTGCGCCACCATGCCCAATTTGGAATAGATTTTATAACAACAGATACATTCCGAAATGTTAAAGAGTCGTGGGGGTGGGGCACTGTGGCTCCTTAGAATGTGCTTGATGGGGAGGGAAGAGCCAAAATAGGACCAAGCAAGGGGCTTCTGGTCTACAAACCTATTTTGTTTTCTATATTGGGTTGTTGTTCCAGATTTTATTTGGATCCTTTTTTTTTTTTTTTTTTTGCTACTAGGGATCGAATTCACAACCTCATGCTTGCCAGGCAGGCACTTATGCTGCTAATCCCTGGCCCCCTGTACCAGGTTTTATTTAAAATAAGTTGCTGGGTATGGTAATACACACTTCTAATCCCAGCACTTGGGAGGATGAGTCAAAAAAAATTTCTGTGAGTTTGAGGCTAGCCTGAACTACATAGCAAGATCCTAACTCAAAA